CCCCCGCCCCACCCCCGCCCGGATCAAGCCCCCTAATTCGGGACGCAGCACCCCCAGCCGTTGCCCCGACCTCTCCTCATCTTGGCCGGGGTCCAGGCGCATCCCCTCCATGCCGCCCACGCGCACCCAGAATCCTGGCCCCAGCCTTGACCCATCCCCCACGCCTTCCATCCGGACTGCGGACCAGGTGTCGGGTCTCTGCCCCGCCCCGGAGGACGCCCCTCTAGCTCAGCCCAGGTGGTCCCACGATCCTGCTCCCCCAGGAAAGGGACACGTCCGAGGCCTGGGTCAGGGTTCCAGGCCCCAGCAGGATCCTCCCACGCGGCTTCCTTCTCTCCAGGCGTCCCCTCACTCAGACCTCGGTCCCCTACTCCCCAGTTACCTGGGCTCTCAGGCACCCTGTTTTCCAGGTTCCTCTTTTCTTTTTTCTAATCCCTGTTCCCAAGGTATCCCCTTCCCCAGGATAGCCCATTTTCTACAGGCATGATTTTGCTCTGGGGTTTTCTTTCCCCAAGGTAGCCCCTCACCCCATGCCCCGCCCTCAGTAGATAGGTACAAGGTTGAAGGCTTTGTGCTGAGGCGGACCTGGCTCAAGCCCAGGGTCTGCCCCTTCCCCAGAGGTTCTTTGTGAGCCTCAGTTTCCTCCGCTGTAAAATGGGCATGCTTGCAGTGTCCATCTGCTAAGTGAGGGAAGATAGGGCCAGAGCTTTGCCCAGGGCCTGCCTCGTGGCGGGTGCCTGAGCTCACTGGCGCTATGGCTCCCACATCTCCTGGATCCCGGGAAGGCAGAGTGGGGAGCCCCAGTTGGGGGAGCCGGGCCTGCCCGAGGGGCTTATGGGCCCTGCATGTGTGCGTGCTTCCGGTGGCAGCAGGAGGCGCTGCGGAAGATCATTACCACCCTGGCTGTGAAGAATGAAGAGATTCAAAGCTTCATCTACTCCCTCAAGCAGATGCTGCTGAACGTGGAGGTGAGGAAGGCGCCTCTGCAGGAGGGATGGAAGGAGGTGGGGAAGTCTTGGACAGGTGGGTGGAAGGGATGGAGGGAGGGTGCAGGCATAGGAGTTAGCCTGTTACTGCTGATGCCTGTCGGCCGTGGCCTGGCTACAGTGTCCAGGCCTCAGTTTCCCTATCTGAGCATAGGCTTTGGCCCACCCTGGCCTGTCTGACCCCACAACATCTCTCCAAGGCAAACTCCACCAAGGTGCAGGGGGACCTGGAGGCCGAGTTCCAGTCCCTCTTTTCCCTCCTGGAGGAGCTGAAGGAGGGCATGCTCATGAAGATAAAGCAGGACCGGGCCAGCCGCACCTACGAGCTGCAGGTGTGTGTTGGGTGGGGCGGAGGGGGGGAGCTCTCCCAGACCCCCACCCAGACCCGATTCCCCCATGGCACCCCTCAGACTCAGCAGAGCCCATCTGGCCTGTGTCTTCCTCCAAATCTGCTTCTCGTCCCGCACCGCTTCTTGGAAAGGCCCCTAAGTGTCTCCAGTGTCCAGAACCAGACACCCCAGTGGCATTGGCCTCAGCTCCTCTTTTTCCTGGTCTCTTCTCTGCCCCCTCACTGGCTGTGATCCATCAATCCCCCACCTGCTCCCCTTGATCTCTGTTCCTACCACCTCCCTCTCCCCTTCTCTGTCACCACAGCCCCACCCCCACATCTGACTCCTCCTCCCCTCCAGTCCTCACCTCCAATTTCTCAGCCCTTCCCACTGGTCCCCCAGATCTGGCAACACCCACTCTTGCCAAACACCCCCCCCCAACCCCATGGCTCCTGTGGGGTCTCAGACTCTAAACGGAGGTACTGGAGCTGAATCAAAGCCTTCTGGACAACTTTCTAACATCCCGGGAGAATTTGGGGCCCCGAGGCTCAGGTGTGGCCTGGACAGGCGAGTTTTTAAGAGAGAGATCCCAGGTGATTTTGAAGTGCTGCCAGGAGTGAGGTCTCCTTTCCCTCCACCCTCCCTCCCCCATCTGGAGTTGGAGAAAGGCATGGTGCCCTGAATCCCAAAGGCAGTGGCGAGCCCCAGAGGGTTTGATGCAGTGGGGTGAGGTGTCTCTTCCCTCGGTGCCATGCCACTCCCAGAACCAGCTGGCCGCCTGCACTCGGGCCCTGGAGAGCTCCGAGGAGCTTCTGGAGACAGCCAACCAGACCCTGCAGGCCACAGACAGCAACGACTTCCCTCAGGTGGGCACCTCAGAAGCCATACTGGTAGGGCTAGGCCATAAAATACAGGACACCCGGTTAAATTCGCGTTTCAGATCAACCCCAAGTGATTTTTTTGGTATAAGTGTGGCCCGTACAACATTTAGTATAAGTATGTCCCAAAGATCCCACGGAACATACTTACGCTAAAAAATTATTTGTGGTTGATCTGAAATCTAAATTTAACAAGGAATAATTTGTTTAATGTAAGCAGATCCCATGCAAATGTTTAGTATTAAAGTATTTCCAGATGTTGCATGGAACATAGTTATACTAAAATGTTTGTTGTGTATCTGAAATTCAGATTTAACAAATTTTTTAAAAGATTTTATTTATTTATTTATTTTGAGAGAGAGAGAGCAGGGGGAGGAGCAGAGGGAGAGGGACAAGCAGACTCCATGCTGAGCATGGAGCCCGACATGGGGCTGGATCCCACAATCCCGAGATCATGACCTGAGCTGAAACCAAGAGTCGGACGCTCAACCATCTGAGCCACGCAGGTGCCCCTAACAATGAATAATTTTTTAGTATAATATGTCCCATGCAATATTTAGTATATGTCCTAAATATAGAATGGGATATTTATACCAAAAAATCATTTTGTTTATCTGAAATGCAGATCTAACTGGGCATCCTGTATTCTTATTTGCCAAGTTGACTAGCTGGATATAATGGGCACCAGGCACTGGGGATGGGGGTGGGGGTAGGAGCCTGTCTTTGCCCCCATCCCTTTGGGGCACAGCCAAGCGTTTCTGCCCCAGTGGTGGAGGACTTTGGCCAGTGGCTGCCCCTCTGGGCCTCAGTCTTCCTGTCTGTATAGTAGCTTTCTGATTCAATCAAGAAAACTCTTTGACTTTTATTCTGTCTCTTTTTCTAGGCTGCCAAGCAAGTCAAAGATGGGTAAGATGCTGGGATCTGGTTCCCACCCCAGTGCCCCGCCCCTGGTGTGAAGGTGGGGACGCCCAGGTGAGGGTCTCTGGGCCCAGAGCACTGGACCAGAACAAGGGGGAGTGGGTCTTCCACACACTTCCGAGAACCGGGCCTGGGCCCCCTTGAGACGCCTGCCAGCAGGCTGCCTCCACCTTCTTCCCTGCAGTGTGACAATGGCCCCTGCCTTCCGGCTGTCATTGAAGGCCAAGGTGAGCGACAACATGAGTCACCTCATGGTGGACTTCGCGCAGGAGCGGAGGATGCTACAGGCACTCAAGTTCCTACCTGGTGAGAAGAGAACTTTCTCGGGGCCTGGATTTCAGGCCAGTGGTACCCCGAGAAAGGCCGCAGCGAGCCTCGCTTTGGAACCCCAGAGGCGTTGGCCCTGGGGGTGGAGCCCCGAGGCTCCCATTCCCGTGTGGGTGGAGCCACGAGCAAGCCCACCCCCCAGGGGCTGAGCCCTGAAAAGCCCCACCCACCAGGGGTGGAGTCTCATGAAGGCCACACTCCTATCAGAGAATTCTGAAAATAGTCCACCTCTAAATGGTGGAGTCCCGAGAAGGCCCAGCCCTTTGTTGGTTGCACCCTGAGAAAGCTCTTCCCCGCCGCCCCACCCTGGGGAGGCTCCACCCCTGGACCTCAGTGCCCGGAGGGGCCCCGGCCCCAAGAAGGCCTAAGGTGCCGGTGGTGGAGTTTCAGTAAGGTGGCCCCTCTGTCCTGGACAGTGCCCAGCGCCCCTGTGATTGACCTGGCCGAGTCCCTGGTAGCAGACAACTGTGTGACCTTGGTGTGGCGCATGCCGGACGAGGACAGCAAGATTGACCACTACGTGCTGGGGTACCGGCGGACCAACTTCGAGGGCCCGCCCCGTCTGAAGGAGGAGCAGCCCTGGATGGTCATCGAGGGCATCCGGCAGACGGAGTACACGCTGACTGGTAAGGGCAGCTCAGCTCTGCTGCCGAAACCCCTCCCCTTCCACCTTCCCAATCCAGTGCGGCTCGGCAATTCCAGGATCCCCTTTCAACTGGGGGGCCTGGCTGGGCTGATCAGGAGTAATAGAAAGTAATAATAATGAAAACGATATTGATGCTCGCCCCTGCATTGTTAATGGAGGGCTTACTAAATGTTTTACCCCCATGTAATGGACAGGCTTATCAGCATTTTACAGATGAGGGAACTGAGGCCCAGGGGGAGAAGGCATTCTCCATCCCCAGCTACCATCCATCATTTGTTCATTCCGGTGTATTGAGCGCCCATGGTGTACTGGGAGGGGCCCTTGCATTAGTCAGCAAAACGGACGAAAACCCCTCCCCTCGTGGAGCTGGCGTCCTCCCAGTGTTTGGGGATTTCCTTGGCAGGTGTAAGAGAGCAGAATGCGTGGGGGGGATCCCCCAGCCGGTGGGGGAGGGTCTGAGGACGGGTAAAATCAGGGGGTGCCTAATGAGTTTCAGAAGCGGTCCTGAGCCAAGGGAAATCCTCAGCGGCGGGGAGAGTCTTGCTGACAAGATAACCATCACCACAGCTCTTGGGCTGTAATCAGCCTGTTCTTTATCTGTAATTAGCATACATGGTTAATAATGAGCACGCTAATTGCAGGAAAGAAAAGCTACCAGCCAGCAAGAGGGCCTGTCCTTTGCATCGGAATCAAAATAAACATACCCCACTTTTCCCCCGATATATATATATTTTTATTATGGCCAAATACATATAACATAAAATTTACATCTTAACCATTTTTAAGGGTCCAGTTCGGTAGTAGTAAGTACATTCATAACGTTCTAAAGCCATCATACCATCTTCATCACTCTCCATCTTGCAAAACTGAAACTGTGTCCCCCCGGAACACTGACTCTTCAGCCCCTGGCTCCCACCATCTACTTCCTGCCCCTGTGATTTTTACTACTTTTAGTACCTAACATGAGCAGAATCTGACAGGATTTGCTCTTTCGTGTCTGGCTTATTTCACCGAGTGCAGTGTCCCCAGGGGTCATCCATGTTGTAGTGCGGATCAGGATTTCCTTCCTTTTTCAGGCTGAATAGCGTTCCGTGTGTGGACATACCCCGTTTTCACCTCTAGTATCTGCTTACGTAACGATGGTTCAATGTCAAAACCGAGGAACCAACACGAGCATATTCTGCGGTGTTGATCCACATTTCCCTGGTGATTCAGTACGCCTTCATCCGTGTGTGTGTGTGTAATCTCTCCCCTGTGCAGTTTTCTCCCGTGTGCAAATTCACGTAACCACCACCACGGTCAAGGTGGAGGGCTGCTGTATCACAGGCTTCCTGATGCATCACCCCCTCGCCATACCCTCCTGCCTTCTACAAAATTTCTAGCGAGTGAATTCCGCAGGGCAGGAAGTCGAGTCCATGAAAAGGTGTGTGGTACTGAGGTTGCAGATGAGGACACTCATCTGGCTAACTAACCCATGTGGTTATTTGGAGCCCACCTGCCATCTCGATTGCTCGGACAGTCAGGAGGGTTTTGGTTTGGTGTTTGTAACTTACATGCCTCCACTCATCTCATCCTCACGTGCTTAGGATGGGGAATGTGATTGCTGGTTTGCAGAATGGGAAACTGAGGCCCGCAGTGAGTTCAGACCATCCATAATCAGATGGGTTCCAGGTTTCTAAAACTGAGCCTTCTGGTTCGTAATCTTTGCTTGGGGGCGGTAGACGGTGTCGCTGAGCAAAGTGCTGAACTCTTGGAGAAGGGGTTCCGAGAAGGGTGAGCCAGTGTTGGGCCCTTGGAGGAGGTGGCAGCCAGCCTGAGGCCCAAAAGAGAAGGGGTGGGTAGAGAAGAGCCTTCAAAGCAGAGGAAAAACCTGATCGAGGGCTCAGAGGCCAGAGCGCTGAGCCTTTGTGTCTGGAACTAGTTAAGTTTGCCACCCACATCTGTGGGGAGAAGGGAGAGGAGGAATGGGGTCTTTACCTGGAGGGCAAGGGAAGCTATGGGAGGTTTTAGAGCAGGGGGTGCTGAGTGCTGTTTGGGATGATCAGAGAATGGGCATTCCATGGGGAACACTCAGGAGGCACCTGGACATGTGGTTTGGGCTAGAGGTTGGGCTGTGGGTACTGTGGTGGATGGATGGTATGTGAGGGGCAAGAAGGGGTCAGGGAGCAAGCAGAGTGAGATGAGTAAGGGCCCCAGATTGAGTCACCCCAACATTTAAGAGTGTCAAGGAGGGAGGAGCCTGCAAAGAGGACCTAGGGATAACAAACAGAGGGGGCGTCCAGGAGACCACTGTGCCTTGGCTGCCAAGGGAAGAGAATGTTCTAGGAGGGAAGGAGTGGTCAGCCAGGAGGTCCTGCAAGGTGGGGACTGACAAAGCCAGAGGAGGGAGAGGGAGTGAGGCAGCAGAGAGGGGTTAGGGATATAGACAGCTCTCTAAAGAGGTTTAGCTTGAGGGGAAACACAACTAAAGACAACTAGATAGTTGCTTTTTATTTTTTAAGACTGGAAGAAACTAATAAAAAAGGACATAAGGGAGTGTGAGGCATATCCTAGAAGTAGGGGACATTTTTACCCTGGCACGGCTCGATCCAGGGCTTCCAGCAACTGACTCGCTCACTGTTGTTCCCTGCGTTTGTTGTATCTGGGGGCTGCATTCTGAAGGAGGCTTGCCAAATGCACTGATAAATTTTCCCAAGAGGAGGGGCGCCTGGGTGGCTCAGTCGTTAAGCATCTGCCTTCGGCTCAGGTCATGATCCCAGGGTCCTGGGCTCGAGCCCTTACGTCGGGCT